TTCTTGAGCATGTGATCAGCTGGTTTTGGTTGTCAGCAGCAAAACTGGTTGATCCACTCTGAGAAGGTGCTATTTAAGAGACTGAGCTGAATACAGCACCTCAAACTGAGGAAGTCTCTCGGATGAGAGACGAAACGTATCTACATTTTTTTTGCTTTGTTTTGTTTTTTGTTTTTTTGAATGTCCAGAGGACCAGATGTAACTTTTTTAGATTTTTCTACCTGGATTATTGAGCATGCATCAGGATATACTCCAAAGCATTCATAGTTATTTACTATCCAAGAAAAACTATTTACATTCAGACTTCAGGTTTACTTGTGGTTCCTAGAGATTCTAAAAGTAGGGTTTTCAAAGGCAGGGTTGCCCAATACATAGACCGCGATCTACTGGTTGATTTCAAAGGGTGGTGGTGGGGGGGTGGGGGGGTGTTTGTTCCATCTGAAATCCACGATCATCTCCTTTGTCTTCTTCACATTGATGTCAAGGTTGTTCTTCTTGCACCAGCTCTCCAGGTGTTTCACCTTCTGCCTGTAGCTGGATTCATCATTGTTTGTGATGCATCCCGCCACCACTATATTGTCTGCAAACTTTACAATATGACAGCCTGGATAGGTAGGTGCACAGTCATATGTGAGCAGAGTGAACAAGAGGGGGCTCAACACACAGCCCTGAGGGGAGCCAGTGCTGAGGGTTATGGTGGAGGAGGAGAAGTTGTGGATCCTCACAGACTGTGGTCTGTTTGTTAATCAATCAACCTTTATTTATACAGGTAAATCCCATTGAGCCTCGAGGACTCATTTACAAGAGAGACCTGATTTCAACAAAGAAAGATGACAACAATGGACAACAGCAACAACAATAAGCAGTTATAAAAACTCATACTACAGTTTTGTTTTTTGTTTTTTTGTTTTTTTAACAAATAGGATGGCTAAAAGGAAAAAGGTAACAAAACCAAAAAAACTGCTAGATTCCGAGACAAATGTATAAAACTAAAAACAGGAACATGTCTGCATTGGTCCCTGCCAGGAGTCCAACAGATTCTTAAAGCCACTTAGAGAGGTCAAGGTCGAGAGCTTCAAATCTTTTTGTAAGATATTCCAGGAAACAGGAGCGGAGTAGGAGAAGGCCCTTTTGCCTAGTTCAGTCCTCACTGAGGGAACACTGCAGGTAATAATGTCCTGAGAGCGCACTCCGTAGCTGCACTCACGCAGAGACATGTAGGAGGAGATGTATGAAGGCAGCAGACCAAGAAGTGATTTAAAGATGAAAATGTACCAGTGAGAGAGTCTGCGTGAAGTTAATGATGTCCAGTTAACCAGTGAATACAGGGTGCAGTGGTGGGTACGATAATCACAGCCAGTTATGAATCTTAGTGCACCATGATAGACAGCATCCAACATCTGCAGGGTTCTTGTAGGAGTGTTCATGTAAATAATATCACCAAAATCAATTGAGGGAAGGAAAGTCACAGATACAAGGCGTTTTCTAGCATTCAGGGTTAGACAGGATCTGTTTCTGAAAAAGAAACCCAGTTTAATTTTCAGTTTCTTTACCAAGTTTTCCACATGGAGCTTAAAAGAAAGATGTGAGTCGACCAAGATACCCAAATATTTATAGGAATCAACAAACTCAATGGGGACACCATTTGAGGATAAAATCGGAGGAAGAACTGCTGGGACCAACTTCCTATTTGAAAAAAGCATCCCTTTGGTTTTTTCGGCATTTAGGACAAGTTTGAGGTGAAACAAATCAGTCTGGATGTAGTTAAATGCAGATTTCAGAAGCTGGAAAGCCTTAGCAACTGTTTTAGCTCGACAATAAACAACTGTGTCATCAGCATAGAAATGTATGGATGCATTAGGGATGTTTTTACCTACATTATGTATGTAGATTGTAAAGAGGGTGGGTCCTAAGACTGAGCCTTGTGGTACACCATTGTTGACTGTTAAATAACTGGAGGAAGTACCATTATGTTGAACACATTGCCTCCGGTCTGAAAGATAGTTAGAGAACCAACCAATGGTGTGATCTGAGAAACCGATTTCTGAGAGTTTATGACACAAGATGTTATGATCCACAGTGTCAAAAGCTTTAGACAGGTCTAAGAAAAGTGCAGCACAATAATCTTTAGCATCCAGTGCTTCAACAACGTCATTAAGAACCTTCAGTGAAGCAGTGGTTGTGCTGTGTTGTTTCCTGAAACCAGATTGATGTGGAGGTAAGATGTTAAATGAGTCCAGGTAATTTTTGATTTGAGAGTTTATCAGTTTTTCTAGAACCTTGGCTAAAATGCAGAGTTTAGAGATTGGT